ACCCCTAATTGTCAAAAATTATAAAATCACATATTAAACCTGAATATGGGTAAAATTTGGTTTGAATTAATTAAATAATGATAGTTTCGTGCTTTTGAATAAAGTTCCATTATATTTCAACCCTTAAAAAGCGACCCTTATTAGAGATTAATATAAAAAAATTAGTAATGCGAAGAAAATGATTTCACCTTGGAACGATTTGCATAAAAATTTGGAATTAAGCTCAACTTACCCTCTGCTTTATAGTTTATGTCATGCCGATGAACCCTGATTGTTCTTAGGGGTGAAAACTACCCCTAATTTTCAAAAATTGTAAAATAATATTACAAATCTTAAGATGAGTGAAATTTGGTTTGGATTAGTTAAATAGTGATTTTTGTATACTTTAAAATACAAATTCATACATTTTCAACCCTTAAAAATCAATTGTTATGAGTGCTATAGGTGAAAACAATTTTTTGCCAAAATTTTGCAACTTTTCAACTTTTGAAAATCACCCTTTACAACATTGCAGTTTTTATAAACTAATTTATAAGATATAAATTGAAAAAAGTAGAATTAAATACAAAAAAATTTATCAACATAAACAGGCACCATATATTCTTATACATTTACATAAATAGTTGAAAATATTTACATTTATAGGTAAAACAATTATAATATTAATTTTATTCGTAATCAATTACATCTTCATTGTGATCTATGTCATCCTCATCTTCTTCAATTATTGGTGGACTGTTATTGCACCCTTTACCTGAGCACCCAGAACAAGTAGAGTTACAGTATAAACCAACTTTTCTGCACCCACATGAAACGCCGCATCCTTTTTTGCATTGGCAAAAAATAGTTTTCAAAAGTTCATCGGGTGCAGGTTGTTTGTTCATACGTACGGGTAATAACAAACCATCTTTGGAATACCATCCCCAATCTGTTGCTCTGATATTTTCATTGCCAAGCCATAGACATATGAGCAGATGTTTTATTCTGTTGTATGGGATTTCAAAATAAGAACGCTTAAAATTTCGAATGTATAACGCCCCACTAGCTAATATACCGGTTTTGTAGATTATTATGCTCCGAAATGTACTGTACTATACTAATGGAATTTTCCGGAAAAAAATTAACTGGTTTTTTAACGTATTTCCTTTAATTTTTAACGATAGAGTGTTTCTTCAAAAACGATTTGTAGAGGTTTTTAAGATCTACAAGGATATGTGAATTAAATCTTTTTGGAACCCTTGGTTTTTAAATGGAGTGAGTTTAAAGAGGTCGAAAAAGATGGTGCTTGATCGTAAATCGATGCTTTAAACGGCTATATCTCGCCAAATATTCATTGTACAACAAATCTAAATAAAGAATAATTTTAGTCATTAAAAAAGCTACAATTTGGTAATTTTTATTTTTTTCATATATTCAGTATTTTCGGGCATATTTAAAAAAAGAAGGGTAAAAAATATGAAATTGTAAATCGTTTCTCGCTTTAAGCTGTACTTTTTCTAAAACTAAGCATTTTAAATGGGTCAAACTTCTTTGACGTATTAACAATACATGTACAAAGGGAATTGCAGAAGGGTGAAGATCGATTTTAATTATGGGAGTGGTTAGGGGGTTGTTTTCATCCATTTTTGCGTAAAAAATGAGGTATTGACCTTATTTTCATCATAACTCACTCAATTTTTGAGCTAGAGTCTTTTTTATGATAGGTCTATTTATGCTCTTTAAAAAAGGTTTTGTGAGTTTTCTTCCAAAAATGCATCATTTTCCCGATATTTGACTTTGAATCTTTCGAATTTGGCATTTGAAGAAAACCGCTGAACATTGATAGGCCGTATTTCGGTTCATATTATATCGCAAAAACATTTTTAAAAATGAATTGTATTTGTCTTTTTAAAAGCTACAAATTTGTTCTCTACAATTTTTTTGATAAAATGCACCATTTTCGAGTTATTCGCGAAAAATCGATTAAAAACGTGGATTTTTTCGTCTAAAAGTTGTTACTTTCAATCGCGAATAACTTGAAAAATATCATTTTATAAAAAAAATGTATAGCACATTTTTTGTTTAGAATCACTTTTTTAATCGAAACATGTAGTTAAAACGTAAAAAAAATTTTCACCACGGAGATGGGGTGGCAACCACCCCCTAGGATTTGGCGCACTTTGGTTCGATATAGATTTTGATCCTTAGGCTATTACCTACCTTCTGTTAAATTTCAAGTCAATCCACGCAGCACGAAAAAATTGCGAGGTGAAATGCTTCATTTCCTGGACTATAACTGGTTTGACAGCATAATAAAATCGTGGATTTATGTGTAGCTTTCAATTTTTATGAGTTCAGAATCCAGCAGCCCGCTTAAGTATGGGGTTTTTATAATATAATTATTTGACAATATTTTGTTGGCCAACCACCTACAGCAGAATTGAGCCGAAATACATTATATTCCTATGTTCCGAATTTATTTCGTTCAATCTGTATGTAATGCTAGGATTAAAAATATTTAAAATATTCCGTGTTATAAATTTAAAAATAACAAACAAATAATACAAACCTAGATGAAAAACAGAATCAAATTATTCTAGATGAAATTCTATGTTGCACTGGATGCATAATCCCACATTGCACTTGCAACACATGGTACCTACATGCGAACTGCGGCCCTCACGTGCCTGCCTGCACCTTTTGGTGCGGTACCATATTTCGTAAGATACGGTGTTACTAGATACCTTCGAAATTCTAGTTGTAGAATAGGATCATGGGATCTGTTATAAAGGTACCAAGAATTTTGAATAGTTATGCCCAGCATCCATGTAAATAGACACCACCACCATTGACGAATTATATTTTCCAATCAAATGTGGACGTGGCACCTGGACAATTTTTTTCTCAACTTGAGAAAACCGTTTCACATTATTTATGGGAGCGACTCCATAGCACGTTGAAGCAACTGTAACAATATTGTTGTCAAGCCAACGAACGAAAATATAGAGAAAAACTCGCCCTTTGGAATGTTTTTTCAATGCTTTATTGTCTGGCAATGGAATATCTCGGGGCAAACGATTATCTTTGATAGTTCCAGTACAGATAGTTCTATAACAAACATATAGAACCAGTACAAAGATTCCAGTATCTTGGTTGCTGGATAACAAACGATCTTGACCACGAGGTCGAAATACGTGCTCGTATAGAATATGCTAGGTCCGCATTTCAAGGAATGCAAAAATTCCTAAAGCGAAAGAAAAAGAAGCAAGGGAAAGAAGCGAAGAAATTGAGACTGCAGTCAAAGTATGATAGTCACAATGTACATAGGAAAGTTAAAGAACTCACAGGGAGACTAAGACGATGGCAGAAAGGAAATATAACTGATTCTGACGGAAACATTATCTAGGACAAACAGAGCTAAATAAGAACGTGGAAAGAATATCTAGAAAAACTATTTGAAGACCAAAGAAATAACACCTTTGAGCTAGAAGAGGTAAATGATGGACCAAGAATATTACAGCAGGAAGTTTATTCTGCAATAACACAGTTAAAGGATGGCAAAGCGGCAGGTCCTGATAATATACAAGCAGAACTACTAAAACTAATGGACAACAAATCAATAGTAATAATTGCAAAGATATTCAACAACATATACAACTCTGGAGAAATACCAACAGGGTTAAAATCTGAGTATATTGCACCAAAAAATGCGGAGATTACCGTACTATAAGCCTCATGAGTCATCTCTTAAAATTGTTCCTAAAGATAATTCATAAGAGAATCTGCAAGCTTGGTGAAAGTCAGTTTTCCCCTAACCAGTTCGGGTTCACAAATGCTGTTGGTACTAGAAAGGCTTTGTTCTCAGTACAAGTCATTCTAGAGATGCAGAGACGTTAACTGCAACGTATACGCATGTCTGGTTGATTACGAGAAAGCGTCTGATCGAGTACAGCACGCCAAGATGATAAAAGTACTAAAAGAAGCAGGAATTAACAACCAAGATCTGAAAATAATTAGAAATCTTTACTGAAATCAGACAGCAAATCTCAGGGTGGAAGGTGAACACACTGACTATGTGAAAATCATGCGGGGAGTAAGGTAAGGCTGTATTTTGTCTCATCTAATCTTCAATCTGTACTATGAAAAAATATTTATCGAAACTTTGATCGCCATGATGAACATTCGTAACGGATAAGCACATCAAGAAGAAGAAATCAGATGGTCAGCCTAGGATTTGGAGAACTATCAACGTTATCACTAATGTTGTTTTACTCATAAAGTTCAATTTGGTGAATATGGTATAATAGTGTGTCCAGGCATTTCTCTAGAGACTCATACAGAAATTGTTACAATTCTAGGGACAATCTAAATGCTGAGAGGTATATTAAACAATGTTTGGAAGATCATGTAGTGCCAGTTGCCCCATTTGTTGGAGAAAACTTTCGTCTGATGCAAGATAATGCTCGTTCGTACATCGCAAGAATAACACGGGATTACTTGGGTGAAGATGGGATTGGTTTATTACCATGGCCCCTAAGGAGTGCAGACTTAAATCCAATAAAGCATGCATCGGATATTTTGAAACCATGAATGATTTGGAGCAAGCAGTTCGTAACGAATGGGAGCTAATCCCTCAAGCAAACTTTGATGCTTTAATCTGCAGTATGCCTTATCGAATGAGAGCCATAATTAGGGCTCGTGAAGTTAATACACTCTAATATCGTTTTCCATAAAAAATGTTTCTTTGTAGATTTTTAAATTTTTTAAATTGTTTATTGGTTTTTCAGTGTATCATTCTTGAGTTGTAATAAATTTGACCTTTAAATTTTGTGTATTATTAAATACCCAATTGGGAACATGCTCAATTTTTTTTAACGTCAGTCAGTTTTTAGGAAAAATCTGAGTGTCCGGTTCACTTTGAACCTCGGTATATATATATATATATATATATATATATATATATATATATATAATTATTTTTATATTTATTATTTAACTAATATGAGTATTTCTATTTTCAGACAAAGATGATAATTCGGTGGCGTTCAAAAGCGTACAAGACGTAAGTAAACTAATGCTTCATTTTATATTCTTTACTACAATTGCATTAACATTTCCTAAGTGGGTATGCTAATTGTTGCGGAAATTATCTTAAACTTTCTCTTTACAACACTTGAATGAAAATAATGTCATTCTAAGAATTCCATTTCTTGTCGGTATTGACCTAGATGACGAACGTATGAATATTTTTATTTTAACCTAGTTCTAAATTTGCTATTTTTTTAGCTTTTGTAATCGATTCAGTATACTGATTTATTTTTATAATAAAATAAAAACAGTGTATATTGGGTTAAGGTGGACCGTAATTTTTTTTATATAAAAGAGTTTTAAGAATTTACATTTGGTCCAGAATTCAGTCCACGGTAAAAGTTCACAGTTTGCAAAAGCAAAATTCTTACGCTTTACAAAAATTAATACAGATATGTGGTTTTACATTTTAATGGGTCTTCTTCTTCTTCCTAGTCATCGTTACCACCCTGAATACTCAATCATGTTTCTTGATTTGTTTCCATCTTGTCTTCTGTACGTCTAAAGCAGTAGTTTAGTGGGGCTACGACTTCTTTTGTAATATAGTCCATATATCTTCTTGATTCGTTCCCGGGCTCTCGCTTTTTGCACCGTTCCTTGCAATATCATCTTCTCCAGACCATCTTTAGGTGTCACATGACTGCTTGCATAAATAACGGTGATTTATTCGGTTACAATAGTTCGGAACCTTTTTTAACGTGTAGCTGTCTAAGAATGGTATACGCGTTCAATTCATTTTCACCTGGCTCTATAAAATATGAATACTACTCTAACCCCTTCCAAGATCAAAAACGTCTTATACGTAGATGACAGGAGTACGACAGGGCTGTAATTCTCTCCCCTATTATTTAACGTCTATTCGGAACACGCCATGAGCCAGACCTTAGAACATATCGAAGAGGGTATTCTCATAAATGGTGAATAACATCAGATATGTAGACTAGACGACACCACCCTCTTTGCAGACAGTTTAGAAGTTTTACAGACACTAGTAACGCAATTGTGGAGAATCAGTCAAGAATACGGGCTTGATTTTAACATCAAGAAAACAAAATACATGGTCATCAGTAAGAAGCATATTCCACCTAGTCAATTACTGGTAGATCAGCAACAAATACTCCAAGCGCCACGTTACTACTATTTAGGAACCGCCATAAACGATCAATGGGACCATTCAGTTGAGAAAAAACAAAAAATTGAAAATCCGTTTATTGAGATGCTACGTATTTACAGTGCTGCTCTATGGGGTTGAATCATGGACACTAACCGAGGCATCCATGGAAAAGTCGAGGCGTTTGAGATGTGGTGTTATAGACGAATACTGAGGATCTCCTGGGTGAACCGAATAACAAACATTGAGGTCCTACGTCGGATGGATAAAACATGTGAAATTATATCCACAGTGAAACAGCGCCAGCTAGAATTTCTTGGACATATAATGCGAAACGATCATAGATATAACCTGCTGCAACTTATATTACGGGGAAAGGTCTACGGAAAGAGGGGACCAGGAAGAAGAAGAATATCTTGGCTCCAGAACTTACGAATGGTTTTCCTTGACCACTTCAGGACTATTTCGAGCTGCCGTCACTAAAGTTAGAATTGCCATGCTAGTAGCCAACATCCGTTTCGGATAGGCACCACAAAAAGAAGATGTTTAATAATTTGTAAATCTCGCAAATCTTTTATATTTTTGGTTTTTTTTGCAAAACGTACCTCAGGCCTCAGAGTTAATTGACTGTATCTTTGCTTGATACTCCGTGCACTTAGACCAATTTGTGCTTTTAATGTGTAGGATAACCTATCTTTATATTATAAATGAAAATAGGATTCTATTGTATTGCCGCATGTCTAAAATAGCTGATCGATAGCGCCACGTTCCTGTAATTATTTCGATTTTCAATGGTTCGTTAATTCATTTAACTGCAGATGAAATATCGATCCAGATGTATCAACGCAAAAGCTATACTCGTATAGTCCAAGCTGCAGAGGCAAAAATGAATGGTTTTAACATTAAATTGTCAATTGAAAAAGCACAACGTTATGAATGGCAATGCTTGGAGTAACCTCCAAGTGTTTTCAACTCCAAACTGTTTGTTATAATTTTTTTATATCACTTTTAATGTGCAAAAACGGTGTTTTTTATCCTTTTTTTTTATTTTATCTAATCAACATTTTAGGCTAAAATGAATACAATATTATGAAAACACATATAAAAAGTTTAATTTGAGACACTAGTTTATGCAAAATTAATGATTGAATGTCCGGAAATGTTAATATGTAGTAGTTTTTCCATTTTTAGTGTTTGAAATAACTTTTGTAAAAATTGTTTTTTTGTGCAAAAATCGTTATATTTTAGCTTTTAATTATAAATCTAATAACGCTTTGTAAGATCGCATCGGACGATTCGTTTTTAAGATGCGTTTAATTGTTTAATGTGAGTTTTTTCTCATTTTAGATAATGCTAAAAGATTATAAGAGAAATACCTATAGGGGTTTAAGGTATTAAAAGGAGAAGTTTAATGCATGCAAGCTGATAATGCCAGGACCGATTTCCACTTGTAAAGCGTCTTTATTGTTCCATTCCAAGCAATGGCCTGAAGACTGGACAAAATCTACAATAACGACCATACATAAAAAAGGCAGCTTCCATAAATGCGACAATTATAGAACTATCTCTCTTATATCCCATGCCAGCAAGATAATGCTACATATAATCAATGAGAGACTGAAAACATTCCTTCAAAGAGAAATTTCACAAGAGCAAACTGGATTTACCAAAGGTAGAGGCACTCGAGAACACCTGCTGAATATAAGACAGATAATCGAGAAATCTAGGGAATTCAACATCCCACTATACATCTGCTTTATAGATTACCGTAAAGCGTTCGACAGGGTCAAGTGGAGACACTTATGGCGAATACTAAAAGAAGTAGGCGTACCACAACATCTAATTACGCTTATAACTGAACTATATGAACACACTACTGGATCAGTTAAAGTACTTGACACACTTTCGAACGAGTTTCATCCAGAACGGGGTGTCAGACAAGGATGTATACTATCTCCACAACTATTCAACATATATGGAGAGTATATTATGCGAAGAGCACTTGAAGGATGGGAAAAGGGCATCTCAATAAATGGTCAGAAACTAAACAACCTACGTTTCGCAGATGAAAGAGCCCTTCTTGCAAATAGTCAAGCAGAGCTGATGGAACTTATACGACTGATCGAAAAAGTCAAATATTTGGTCTGCAATTAAACATATCAAAGACAAAGATCATGATAGTGGATAGACTACACAACAATCATCCACACATAACCACAATTGACCGGTTCGAGGTTGTGAGCTCATACTTATATCTGGGATCATTAATCACAAACACACGGTCATTACAAGAAGAGATTAAACGTAGATGTGATCTAGCCAAAGTTGCCCCAGCAAAAATGACCAAAATATGGAAGGAATGTCAAATTTCAAGAGCGATAAAGATGAGGTTGATCAACTGCTTAATATTCCCAATACTGACCTACGGATGTGAATCTTGGACTCTGAGACAATCGGGAGAAGAAAGATAGACGCCACTGAAATGTTCTGTTGGAGACGAATATTACGAATTCCTTGGACCGACCGTAGAACAAATACTTCAATTTTAAGAGAGCTAAAAGTTAGCCAACGACTCTCTAGTAAAGTCCATCTCCAACAATTAAAATATTTTGGGCATGTTATGAGAGCAAACACAGAAAACATGGAAAGACTCATAATACAAGGAAAGGTAGAAGGCCGAAGATCACGAGGAAGATCCCCAACAAGATGGATAGATCAAATTACAGGAATATGCCAAAGACCTATGCATGAATTAAAAGAAATGACCAGAGACAGAGATCTCTGGAGACGGACAATATACGACATCACGTCGACCACTACACTCCCCCTGGGGGGTCAGGATTGAAGAGAGAGATCCCTAAATTAACGTAACGTAACTGGAAGAAGGGGTAAAAAAAGTTGCGGAAGATGGTATAAGAACTATGAAAAATTGGGGTTCGGTCTATCAGGAAAGGAGGTATTTTCAAAGGTGAAGATTTTCTTAAACTAAATAAGATGAAGACTCAGTTTAAGGACGGGCACCCAGGACCAGATCGGTTTATTAAATTTCGAAGAAAAATAGACCTTAAGCGTTTGAAGTAGCAAGACAAAAAGTTATAGATTCTTTTGTAATTGGTAATTACTTTGATTTACTGAAGAATCCGATGGAAGAGGTACTTCTTGCTGATAAACTATTACAAGTATGGAACCTTGATGAAATCAGTTTGTTGTGATCTATCAAAAACAAAAATTGTTAGCCAAATTGAAATTCCATGCACACGAACCACGAGTACTTCAGGAAGACAAAATACCACCGTTTTAGTAGCCTGCAATGCAGAAAGCCAAAAGGCGACTGCGTAACAGTATCTAAGAGTAAAGACATTTATGACGAATGGACGGCCCCTGAATTAGATGTTGTCTTGTGCGACAATTAAAAATGGATTGATGGAAGGCGAAGTTTTCCGCAATTACTTTAAAAAGATTTTTTAAAAACAGTTTAAAGACCGCCCTCTCTGTCTGATATCTGATGGCTGTGGTAAGCATATTGGGTTAGAAATAATCGAGGATGCAATAAAAGGAAATGTTACAACTCTAAAACTTCCATCACACTCCAGCCATTGGATTTGGCTGTGTTCAAATCCCTTAAAGACTCTTGATATGCAAAACTAGTTAAGTGGTAAAGACATAATCCTGGTAAAAAACAGCGAAAAAAAAAACATTTTCGATATAAATGCATCAGTTATGATCTAACTTGAATCCTGACATAATACGAATTGGTTTTAGAAGGGCAAGAATTTATCCCTTCAATATACCGTTATTTCATCCGAAAATTCGGTAGAAGCTTTAAATGAGACTACTTTAACTATGATGCTACAAATAATAATAGCTCTAATAAACCTGTCGATTCCATTGCTTGATATAGTACAATAATGTTCGAAGAACTCCTGTTAGCTCCAATAAAGGATGGTCAAATTCCACAAAAATTATATAAAAAAAGAGTAGTTCGTTGTGCCGAGATAGTTACCAGAATTGAAGTATTAGATCATCAAAAAGAAAGTCAAAACAAAAGGAACCCAAAAAATGGAAAAAAAATTGCCAAAAATTGGCAACAAGGATCAGGGAGTGAAACAGACATTAAACCAGACTGTAACGGGGAAAGCGGTGAAACCTTGAAAGACATAGTATAAAGAATTGAAGAAGGAAATGATGAACTGGTTGAGGAAAATCGCAATGCTGAGAGGAAAATCGCAGTGCTGATAATACTGATTGAAATGACTGGGTTTTCAACCAGAATCAAAGTCAAATAGCTTTTTTAAACAAAAATCCGTGTTCCAGTAGATGGTATTACAACATCTATGACAGATGATATTCTATTATTACCAAAGCCAGCTATTGGAAGTTAGTGTGTAGTTATTAAGTACAAATTACTTATTACTAACCAAAGTTTTCGTTTAAAACTTTAAACATTGCGTTTTTTACTTTTGTAACAATCAAATCTTCCTATGTTCATCATCATCTTTGGCTCGACAATCCTCTGTGGATCCTGGCCTGCTCTAAGAATAGTCGTCATACATAAAAATTTATGTATTATAATTAAATTAAATAATATCTTTTGACAATAAATTTTAGAAAAAAATAAATTTTTTACTTAAAAATCAAATCTATACGTGTTAACTTGCAACCTGAAGTGAAAACAACCCTGGGCTAAAGTTCAAAAGTGTAAGAGAGGGTAAGAGAGACCAAGTTTTCAAGCAAATCGGTCGTAATCTCGAAAAGTATACTTCAAAACGGTCATTTACCGGAATATTAATGCAATTATTGATAACATTTAGTCTTCAATTTGCTGTCCAGTATCGGCAACAAAATGAGTCACACTTCGTTCATGCAATAGGTAATTATTTGTTTACAATATTTCTGGACTATACAGAAATGTAAAAATGCGGTGGATTTGATGTAGTCACAGATGATAACTAATTATAAACTTTTACTGGTAATTACATTCCTGCATGTGGACTATCTTAAAATACATTGATTAATCTACTTCGGTATCTTTTGTGGTCACTGTGAATCCTTTTCGTGCGATGCTTAGTATTCTCTTTTTTGCAATTTAAAAAATGATCGTGCTTAGAGCTATACTCAAGTTAAACCCTTATACCTTGTTCCAGATTAACCAAAAAACTCTTCCAAGTGATAATAAACCTAAAAATGAAAGAGAAAGAAAAATCGGTCATCGGCGGGTTGGCGTGGGTGGTGAAATCACATACAAGAAAATTCAGTCAACGCAAATTATGGGTTCGATTCAACTGGGTAAGTAAATAGATTTTAATTGAGTAAATATATAGCAGCTGTATCAAGTTATAAATTGTAGACATTGTAATTATTGCATAAACAATTGTGTGCTTATTACTTGTTCTGCAAATATCCAAATTCGTCTAATTATGCCACAGGTAGTGAAGAAATGTTTAATGAAAACATTAATAAATATTATTTAACTCAATATATATTCTTCAAAATTTTTCTACATATGCATTTTACAAAGAATCGTATATTAGTAACATATATGTTATTACTTGGGATGTCCACTCTCTCCGGTGTAAATTAACTCATCTGTTGCTACTCTCAACAGAGAGTCTCTTTCAAGAACGCGTCCAATAATGCCAAAGAGGGAGTTACAGTTAACGGAAAATTAATTAACAACTTAATATATGCAGATGACACTGTAATAATTACAACAAGCATAGAAGACCTACAACATCTAATCGAATGCTTAAGTATGAATAGTGCTGAGGTGGGAATTACTATAAACGCTAAAAAAACGAAATATATACTATTTTTTTTATAATTACAAAAAGACCAAAAAATATACACATTGCATATTGACAATAAATGGTAACATGGTAAAACAAGTAGAAATATATCAGTACTTGGGAACTTTGATCAATGAAACCAATGATCATACTGCAGAAATAAACAGACGAGTGGAATTGCCAGATCAGCATTAACACGAATAAAGACATATAATATAATTATATAAAGCAAATCTTAATTTGGAAATCAAATTACGCACCATTCGGTGTTATATATTTTCAATATTATTATATGGAGCTGAGATATGGACATTAAAAAAATCCAATTTAAAAAAAATCGAGGCTTAATACACGGAAAGATTTAGGGAAGATCTGTTGGCCGAAGGCATAATTCTTGGTTGAAGAATTTGCGTGATTGGTATCAATGCAGATCGATTGATTTGTTTAGAGCAGCAAGTTTAAAAATAAAAAAGCCATTATGATTGTCATCATCCGTAGGGAGACGACACTCTAATAAAAAGTTGCTACTCTACACAATCTTCTTCCTCCTCATGACTGGAGCCCTTGCCCATGCCCTGGAGTCAGAGTGTGGTGAAGCTCTAAATATTGTTAGCTTGCTGCCTCTATTGGCTGCATAGAAGCTGCATGGATTTTCCATTAGAGTGTTCATTTGGTCTGTCAATCTTGTTATAAGTTTTGATTTTGGTCTTTGACATCCTACTACCAATAGTTTCATAATTGCAGATCTTCTAGCTATGTGACAAAAATAATTTAGGTACGCTAAACGAAGTCCGAATTTCGTGCTTATCCGGGCTTAGCCGTTAAATGATAGTGGGCATTTCGACTTTGCTGCTAGTATAATTTTGTCATCTGCGTATAGTAGGATAAAGATTTCCTGTCTTATATAGTAATTCCTCCTTCCCATTCGTCTAGTACTTATCTCATTACGTATTCAGAATATATGTTGTTATAATATACAGCCCTGTCTAGTTCCTTTTTTGTTTTGAACGCATTTAAATATATTCCGTGTAGTTTAACTTTACCTGAGTTTTTATATTAGGTTAACTAGGGACACAGCAACAAACCGTTTAAAAAAAGAAGAAAGGGAGAGGTCCATTATGGTGTGGCAAGAGGAATAGGACGAGCTGAGAAGGGTGGTGCAGTGAACAAAGTCACTGATTTCTAATCTGCGAAGATTGGATTACTTTCTGACGTAGATGCTGACACGATATAGTTGCTTCAGTTCATAACTTTACAGATTTGGAAAGGCAGAAAAAGACAAATGCATGTACTGTGAAATATCGGACACTGTCTCACACACTCTATTGGTACGCGATAGATGGATAGACGAGAGGAGCCTGCTTGAGAGAGAGAGAGCGAGCTATGAAGTAGTGTGCAATCAGTCACGCAACTGATGGAGGAGATGCTTAGGTCATCAGATCGGTGGAGAGCAGTTCAGAGATATGTAAAAAGAATGATGGAAAAAAAGGAACAATAAGAAAGGCGACCCGAAGGGAGGCAAGGTGCCCAGGAGCACTAGATAGATATATAGATCATCACCATCATCACCCAGCCCTCTGTGTCCACTGCTGGACATAGGCCTCCCTCATTTATGTCATTGTGCTCTATCTTGAGCACTTTTCATCCAATTTCTTGACGTTTTCTTGAGATTGTCAGTCCACTACTTCTTTTGTGACGTGTCCGGCACAGTTCCATTTTAGTGTGGCAATTCGGGAAATTACATCGGTAACTTCTGTTCTTCGTTTTAAGTCTTCATTTCTAACTAGGTCACGAAGCGATATACCCAGCATTGACCTTTCCATTTTCCTCTGAGCTATTTGCAGCGTTTTAGAACTTGTAGCTGTCAATGTCAAAGTTTTGGCACCATAGGTCATCACATGTAACACACATTGGTTAAATGTTTTACGTTTTAAAGAAATTGGTATATCGCTTATAAAGACGTCTTTGAGTTTTCCATAGGCTGTTCATGCTAGGTTTACTCTTCTTCGTAGTTCGCATGTTTGGTTGTCTCCTGTGATGTTCATCTCGTGTCCAAGATATATGTATTTTTCCACTAGCTCTACTTCGTTATCTCCAATATTAATATTTTCGCTACCGTCAAATTCTACCGTGTCAAAGGCTTTATGGAAATCTACAAAAGCCAGAACGAGTGGTCGATTGTATTCGATAGTCTTTTCTATTACCGTTTTAATGCTCTGTAGGTGATAATTTGTTCCAAATCCGGTACGAAATCCCGCTTGCTCTATTGGTTGGTAGAAATAAAGTTTTTTCTGAAGACCATTCGTTACTATTCTTGTAAGGAGTTTGTATAGGTGATTAAGAAGACTTAGAGGTCTGTAGTTCTCTAATGAATGGGGATCTCCTTTTTTTGTACAGTAGAATACTCAGCATTGTGTCATTTTTGCATTGTGCCAAGTGCCTCCGATTTTGCTTGCAGTAACTACACAATCTTCGCCTCGAGGTTTGTTATTATTAGCTTTTCTTAGGACTAGTTCTATTTCCTCCATTGTGATTTCCGGTTTTTCGGATTTCCGATAGATAGATAGATAAATTTAATGAAGTGACATTTGGCCTATTTTACTGCGATCTTCTTAGTTCTATTATGGTCCTCTAATCCTAGATTAAATTTTCTATCCTGGCCCTTTTTAAAAAGTCAGGCTATCGCACTGACACAAAATGCTCCTTCAATGTCTAAAAAAGCGGCCATTCTTGTATGTTTTCTATTGACTTTAAGATAAGCCTATTTCGATCATCCAACGCTGAGCCTGTAGATTTACCAGGTTGGTATGCATACTGGCTTCGACTCTTATGTACCAATCCAGAAGTCTTTCCAGCCTTTTTAATATAAAGGCGATAGGCTTATTGGTCTATATGACCTTGGTGTTCGGTTTGATATGGACATCTTCAAGAGCAACAAGCCGAATTATTTGAGAAAAAAGAAGACGTTTGACCAATGTGTACTAGCTCATACTTTTTGCACAATTGTCATTGAATATTGAACGATAACTGTCTTATATCAGTTGTTCAAATATTTATTCAGTTCAGGTATTATCGTCCAGGGAATAATTAATGTTCTCTAGATGCCCACTGTATAAAAAATATTTTTGTGTAATAGAGAAGCAACAGATATAATTAGGTTGTAATTTTTAATCAAACTAAAAATATAAAAGTGTGTGAGTGTATTCATAAATCATATTTGTAGGTAATTGAATGGTTGATGTGATTGCGTCAAACGCTTGTTTTTTATTCCATTCAAACAGACAACATGCTCTCTTGTATTATTTAGTCTCACGGATTTATATAAATATAAACTTCTGTTTGCTTGTGACGTACTTAATTTCGTTTACTTTTTGAATAAATCTAATGATTTAAGATAATTGCCATACATTGTTTTTCCCGATGGTTTAAATAATTTCAGTAAATTCAAAACACTTAAATATTTGAGAACAGCGGCTTTCGAGAAGGGTAGTTTGTTGCTTTGGGAGTTTTACAAAACGCTGTCTAGCTGGAAATGAAAAAGTCACTATCCTCCTTTAAATTGATATTTATTCGAGAATCTGATGACCCAACACTGTATTTAAGAATATGTTTATGTTTACACTTTAAAAAATTAAATACTCTACCGAAGAAGCATAAATAATAATATATTTTTATCTTTCAGGCATCCAGCATGCTGTTGGCGGTTTGGCATCGAAACCTGAAAGAGATCTCTTGATGCAAGATTTTATGACGGTGGAAACGACAAATTTTCCTAGCGAAGGATCAAATCACACGCCAGCTCATCATTATTCGGAGTTTAAGTTCAAAAATTACGCACCTATAGCTTTCAGGTACTTCCGAGATCTATTTGGTATCCAACCCGATGACTTTTTGGTAAGTTTTTGTTTTACTTTTTTAGGTTATTCACATAGACCAGTTCTCCTTTTTTATTTCCTTAAGTTAAATATACATACTACTATATTCTGGTGCATAAAAATGTCCGCTTTCAAATATTAAGAAATTTCGATCTTAAATAATTGTTTTAGTTATGGGCCAGTTTTGACAATTTATTGACCAAGTAGATAACAAATCGTTTCAGATTAATTAAGATAATACAGATTTTCGAATATGGTCGGATTTATACACATACAAGGAACAACAAAATGTAATTTCTATCATACATAACTTTGCTTTGATTACTTTTTATCTTTTTCAATTTTGTCTCTATAATACACAGACAGAGAACCACAGATAATCAAAATATCGACTTAAAAAAATATATTAAAAAATCGAAAAAAACCCTAAGTTTGGCGGGGAGCTGAGGTAAAAAAGGTTAAGATAAAAATAATATTCAAGCCGCCAAATATAAAGGCACTAGGGAACAAGCTCAAGTGTCATTAAAAAATATAAGCTAGTTGAAGCAGACTGGCACTGAGAGGTGAGGGTTTTAAACACTTCTCTCTTTGCTAATCGTTGAATAAAAAAGGGCATTGTAATTCTGCGCGTTGGCGTCGTTAAGAAATGAAATACTTTTGCTCTTACGCTATCTTTTACCACTTAAATAACAGTCAGAGGATTAGTTAGATATATTTTTATAGTTTCAACGATGTCAGTTGGACAAGTATAAAAACAAAATTCGACACTCAAGTGTCGGCGTCTTTTGTAAAACATAGGCGGCGCAATAGAAATTAAATAATAAAATTTTATTTTTAAATTAAGGTCTAATATTTTGTTAAACAGTAATAATATTGTTAATTACTCACATTTCTTTATGAACTTGACACCAAAGATGATTAAAAGTTAATATACATAGTCCATTCACTAACGGGAAAATATTGTAAAAACCTCTAAATTTTAAAGAATGACGAGATTGACATGAAGTTTGGCATATACATATAGCTAACGTGTCAAAAAAAAAAGTGATATTGTGCCGATGTATATTTTTGCCCTGGGGGTGGGTACAACAACGTCACTTAATTGGGGAGATTGATTCATTTTCCGCAATTTCTTTTTTACATCGGCCCATATCATTTTAATTGGGTTGAAAACACAATGATATGGAGGGAGCCGTAAAACCGTATGCCCGTGGCGTTCAAAGAGTTTATCTATTTCCTATTGATATTTCCTTGAATATGTAAGTCCTTATTTACAAATTCCCAATTCATTGGTGTTGGATCTAAAAGAAATATTTTTACTTTTAATTGTTAAAAAAAGTGGATTAAGGGTGAATATTATGACCGTGCATCCCTATACAACTAATTATTAAACTAGTTTTAAATAAGAATTTACATACCTAAATCGTCCGTTGGATTGTCGCTAGTATTCTCGTTGGTATCACATTCAAATGGTCGCCAAAAAGCCATCTTTAATGTATTTACAACTTATTTCTACTGTCTTAACTCAAACTTAACTAAAACACAACACTACTGTTTGCACAAAAATATTAAAAATATACGTGAACTTGCTGTCGTACACTACGATACTGAATATATCGTTAGTATGAGAAACTTGAGAACGCATTTTTGACCAGATAACGATCAAGTTTGAGCGTAATAACTTCCGAAGAATTTGACTAATTACACTTCAGTAGTGCCCGATAAGATACGTAGAAAATAAAAAGCCACAGCTGCAATGTGGACAATACCGTTAGTGATCAATTAGAAATAATGTTTATATTTCTGAATTATTCCGGATTGGACCCGAAAAATTCCTTAACTTTTATTGAAATTTAAAATTGATGATTAAAAGTATATACATACATAATGCAAATGAAATGTAATGTGCTTATTAATTTCAGAACTAAAAAATGAGACTACAATTTTACTATAAAAATAAAATAATTATAAGTTTATCACGGCGACACTGTAATTTTGTTTATTATATGCTTGCCGCCTTTGAAACATGAGAAGCAATTTTTGCCAGATAACAGCAAAGCCAGATTTGGTTTCAGTGTATGCACTTCCGAAAAATTTGACCAATTACATTTCAGTATTACCCAATAAGATACGTTCAAAGTAATAAGCCACGCCAATATCCATGTGGACTAATACCAGGAGTAATCAATAATTACAGAATTACAAAGATTTATCTTTATTTCTATGTTCGTCGTAGAATTACTGACCGGACCCCAAAAATTGTTCTTTCCCAATTCATATCGTTTCTACTTTACCACAAATTAATTTTAGAGAGTTAATTTTAACTAACACCTTTAGACAAACAATATTTGGTTTAGTAAAAAATACACGCTTTTCCCCAAAAGTTCGACAAAATGAAATCTGTGGCTTCCACGGTCAGAGGCAAAATTATCTAATCGTCTCTAGTGTTTTTTTTTTGTACAACCCGTTTTTAGATCAATCGCAACCTTGTGCTAGCTTTATAGATAACTGCTTCAGGAACAGGAAAAAAGCTGTTCAGGAGATAAGTACCAGAAAGTCAGGAGAGTTTTCTTCGATGGCGAATAGGGAACTTGCACATTTTTTTTTATTATATAATAACGTTCAGTTTCATTTAAAAATAAGATTTCCAAAATTTCACGCCTCAAAAACTCATAATGACTTATAGCAATACAAATTTAAAATCTTCCGTATATAAAAATCATTTCAAACGATCGAAAAAGCGCGCGAACCCTTGTGACGTCACTTGGTAGTATTTTCTGTATGTCAGGTCTCCTGTCTTGTATAAAAGTATAAACTATTTTGTTTATATTGGTGTTTGATATAGTTTTTGAAGAGAGAGTGTTGAATTGTGTGTGTTTTTACTATGGAAAGTAAAAGTAAATACTACAAGTGTTGTTTAGTACCATTGTGTAAAAGTACAACCATTAAAACCCCCAACAAAATATTTATTAGATTACCAGTCGATAAAAAACGGCGTTTAAACTGGTTACGTGCCTGTCGAAGGGATATTTCAGTTACTGCTCAAGCTCTTCATGTATGTGAAGATCACTTTAGATCAAGTACTTCCTCGGTTTCTTCATTAATTTCACAACTTACAGCATACTGTTTTTTCTTAACATTATGTTCAGGTGTTATTTTTGCCCTTACAATATAGATCATGTTATTTCTTTTTACTTGAACCCATCCTACAGCTGCATCTCCATATGATTATCTGCCAGATCTAAATGCAAACGATGAATAAGTTAATTTGATTAACTTTCAGTACAATAGCATAAACATATAATATTGACCCTACTTGATATAAAGTACTAAGTTTTATCATTAAATACTTATTATGAGAATAATAATCACAATAAAAATTAATGTAATAGGAGTATATGTACTTACTTATCTGCTTTAACTCCCCGAACTTCTCCCAGGGAAAAATTTTCACCGTTTTGAAAATATGTGGCTACCATAAACATATTTACAATGGGCAAGTTATCAGACTGGCCTTTGGAAAAACCCTCTTCGGTCATTTTAAAAAATATATCTGAACAAAAACACTCAAATATTATTAAATATATAGTTCACAGCAACTATCTAAAGATTTATAAAACTGAAATACACCATAAAATTACTATAACAAGTAAACGAATGTCAAACGTAATGAATTAATAGTGCCAATCTTTGAACATTCTGACTATATGACGTCACGACCAATGAGGCCGCGTTTTGGACTGGCTGCTATAATTTGAATTTTCTCTCGATTTTAATCGTTTTTAGGGGCCAAACTAAAGACAAAAACAACTTTTTTTTGTTTGATATATATTTTAAATTATGTTTTGTTATGATTTAAGGCATTTTTTTCGAATTTAAAATTTTATGCAAGTTCCCTATAGGTGAACTGAACTGGAGAGAATGGTCATTTTTTTCTCCTGCTGTCACCCACCATGTAGCTTCTTTAATAAAAAAATTAAACTGTTTGTCCTTTGTTTAGTGTTGTGTAAATGTATTATTTAATGATTATGACAGTCATAAAATTGCTGAATAGCCTATAATTTTGACGAAATTCCCCTGAAGATGTTCCGAGAGCTAAAGTACTTGGGCAAGATTTAATAAAAAACTCGATATCTGCCTTTTACTTGATTAAAAAATTATAGTTTTGTATTACGAGGTATACATTTGGCATTAGTTAAATTTTTAATGGCCCCAGTACATCTGTTGCTCTTCGTCAGTCTCAGGTTGATTTCACTTTTTTCCTTACATGTGTGATTGATAAGGGTACCTATGCACATATTTATATCCACCTCGAATTCTACAACTGATACATCCTTCACATCCAATTTGACGGAACCTCTGATGTTTATTCGCTTTGTCGCTCTATGTACTTTTTTCAGTTTACACTTTTCCAGTTTTACGATTTGCCAGTCCTTTTCTATTTCTTGAAATGAAAACCACATCATCAGCGTACGCTAACTTTTTAGGCTTTAACATCAAAACGGAAACAGTTAACCAAATGGTCACTGAAAATTAACCGGATTCAAGTCATATTTAACTTTTTTTCGAGCCATTTTTATGAATTATGAAAATATAATAATATAATATATTAAAAATCTTAGATTTTTATAGTGGATTAATAATTAATATATCCCTAATATTGGATATTTTTTTCAGATGTCAATGTGTAACACGAGATTAAGAGAATTATCGAATCCCGGTGCTAGCGGTTCCATTTTTTATGTTACTTTCGACGATGAATTCATCATTAAAACGGTTCAACATAAAGAAGGAGAGTTTTTACAAAAATTGTTAGCAGGTATGTCTATTTTATCATTTATTAAATAAATTTACGTACCTAGGAATTTAATAAATTAGATCATATACTTAACTACTAAGTTTAGTCAAATATTTGGCTTTGAAGAAGATAAGAAACGTTTTGTGAAATTTGGTAGTAATTAATTTTTGACGTAATATAATTTTTAAGGTCAACATAGGCCTTATCCACCGCATCATCAATAAATCTGTATTTAGCGCTGGACAATATTTTCAACTTTTGTTAAGGTACTATTTAGTACAGACTAGAAACCTAAATAAAATTTTTTTGGCTCCTTTCTTAGATACGAACGTGAAATATTATAACCGAACATGATTTTTAAATATTATTTTATCTTCGAGTTAAACAAAGAGATTTTTTTAGTTCCTATAAACTAAGAGGGCGCTAGGGGCCTTACACATAAGCTTGATTTCTATCAATATATCGATCAGAAAACATTTTAGTACCATAGACCACTTGAACACCGTAAGAACACTGACAGAAAAATGCACCGAGTATAATGTTCCAATTTATATGACGTTCGTCGATTTCCATAAAGCGTTCGATTCCATCGAATTATGGGCAGTGCTTGAATCTCTAGAAAATGCACGTATAGATTCAAGATACACTAACATAACTAAAAACAATATGAAAATGCCACCATGCAGATAAGCACAAAAACTAATCCCTACAACGGGGTAAAACTACAACGGGGAGTAAGACAAGGAGATACCATCTCTCACAAACTATTTACCTTGCTCTAGAAGACATTTTTAAGAAACTAGAATGGAACACCAAGGGTATCAACGTCGACGGATCATACTTAAACCACTTGAGATTCGCAGATGACATAGTTTTAATAGCCGATAATATCCAAGAACGAAATGATATGTTACAAGAATTAAATGCAGTTTCAGGAGCGGTAGGCTTAAAAATGAACTACAGCAAAACAAAAATACTGAGTCGAGACCAGACAAATATAACAATACAAAATCATACCGTAGAAAATGTTGAACATTATGTAGGTATATCTAGATCATCTCATCAAACTAGGAAAACCAAATCAAGATGCTGAAATTAAAAGAAGAACACAACTGGCATGGGACGCTTTCGGCAAACTAGCATATATCTTAAAAAACACCTCCATTCTGTAAACTTAAAGAAAAAGGTGTATAATCCATGCGTACTACCAGTTTTTACCTACGGCTTGGAGACAGTAGCCCTTACCAAAAAATCTGCTAAAAAATTAGAAACAACGCAGCAATAATTAAAACAGCAAATTAAAACAGCAAATGAAAACTTAAAACCAAAGAATAGAAAACATAAAGATTGGATGACTGAAGAAATACTACTATTAATGAATGAAAGAAAATCATTCAAAACAAAAAATCCAATTAAATATAATGAAACTGATCGATTAATAAAAAAGAGAATAAAAGAAGCTGAGGAGAGAATGTTACATGAGCAGTGCCAAGAACTAGAAGAAATTGAGAAAAAATATGACTTTTTTAACATGCATAAAAGAATTAGAGAATTAACAGGAATGAGACAAACACTTTAAACTAGGCAACTAAGAGATGAAAGGGGTGCACTTATAACAGATATAAACCAAAAAATGCAAAGATGGACACAATATATAGCACAACTATTTGAAGACAAAGAAAGAACAGAAGCACCAAAAGAATTTAAGGATGATACTGGGCCTGACATTATACGAGAAGAAATTGAATATGCAATGAAACAAGCTAAAGATGGTAAATCTCCCGGGCCTGATGAAGTTCCTATCGAATTACTTAAAATTGTGAATACTGAATCTATTGATCTTCTTTTGGATCTATTCAATACCATATATAGAACAGGTATAATACCTAAAGAATGACTGCAATCAACATTCATACTGCTTCCCAAAAAAGCCAATGCAAAGGAGTGCAATGAACATCGCACCATAGCCTTAATGAGTCATGTCTTGAAATTGTTTTTAAAAGTAATTCACAATAGAATACATAAGAAATTAGATGAAGGCATAAGTAATACACAAATGGGATTTAGGAAAGGTCTGGGAACACGAGATGCACTGTTTGCAGTAAGTGTTCTTTCGCAGAGATGCTTAGATATTAATCAGGAAGTATATGCCTGTTTCATTGATTTTGAGAAGGCATTTGACAGAGTGCAGCATAATCGACTTAAAGAAATTTTATTAAATAAAAACATAGACAGTAGAGACATTAGAATCATCTGTAGCCTTTATTGGAATCAAACAGCAAAAGTGAAAGTTGAAAATGAACTGACCAAGGATATCCAGATTCGCCGTGGAGTCCGCCAAGGGTGTATTTTATCACCCTTGTTATTCAATTTATACAGTGAAGCCATCTCAGAATTAGCGCTTGCCGAGATCAGTGAGGGCCTTATAATAAACGGTGAGCCACTTAATAACATAAGATATGCTGACGACACCGTCCTTTTGGCAGGAACACTAGAAGAACTGCAACACCTTGCTGAACAACTAAATATATATTGCAACGATTATGGACTAAAAATCAATTTGAAGAAAACCAAGTTCATGGTATTTACAAAAGCACAAAACATCAAAGTTAAGCTAGTACTAGATAATACAGAAATTGAACAAATATCTTCGTACAAATACCTTGGAGCATGGATCACAGAAGATACTGATCAGACAAAAGAAATAAGATGCCGCATTGAAATTGCGCGGTCAAGTTTTAATAGAATGAGAAAACTTTTTTGTAATCGCGATATCAATATATCGCTCCGGATAAGAATGCTTCGATGTTATATTTTCTCTACCCTTTTGTATGGAGTTGAAGCTTGGACACTTAAAAAATCCAACATTAAAAACCTAGAAGCATTCGAAATGGCGACGCATTTTGAAAATATCATGGATGGATCGCAAAACAAACGAACAAGTTCTCGAACAACTAGGAAAACAATGCGAAGTTTTAAATTCCATAAAGATCAGGAAATTGGAATACTTGGGGTACATCATGAGAGGTGAAAAGTACGAACTACTAAGGAATATAATGCAGGGTAAAATCAAAGGTAGAAGAAGCGTAGGAAGACGTAAAATCTCGTGGCTACGCAATCTCCGTGAGTGGTTTGGATGCAGTTCAATTGAACTATTCAGGCGAGTAACCAATAAAATTATAATTGCCAGAATGATTTCCAATCTCCGATAGGAGTGGAACTTGAAGAAGAAGAAACTTGTAGAGTTTTATGATCATTCGTTGTTATCTTAAACTGTGGTTCCAATGCATTCCCTGCAGATTTATTTAATGTGTGAATAGAGTAAGCTCGGAACTGTAATGCTGATAAAGAGCTGCAATTGGTGTAAATCTCGGTGCAAATCACGTTTATCGAGTTTAACCGGTGTACAAAAAGGGTGTACATATGTGGGAAATTATTAATATAATTTCCGTGTATGTGGACTGTATTATATAGGGCTGGTTCAATAAAATTAGGATAAGTACTAAAAGGTATACAGACAATAGCAAATTAAGTGTATAGAAAGTCTTACCAATATTTTTTCTGCTCCACACTCTCACGGTTGTTTCCGGTCTTCACTCGTGGTTCTTCTTCACCCGCGAAATCTGTCCGATGCACCGGTTTCTGAACACGTGTTTCGCAAATATATCACGATATAGATCACACTTTGTCTGCACACGATTTAATACAGTATTTTCGATATTTCTCGCGTAACTAAAGCGGGAAAGAAGTAATTACGATAGAAAAACAGCCAAGATAGATGCTGTTCTTCTTGATAAGCGAAGAGAGAGAGAGAGAGAGAGAGATCAAGAGAGAGAACGTCTGGCTCTAGTGATGGCCAAACTAAGAGAGTTGAGAATGGTCTGTCCTTAGCGACGAGCGACCATCAAGAGAGTGTCTTTCTTCTTTGCTATCTTGAAACTGTCTGTATTTCTTAAGAGAGGGGGTTGAACTGTAAGTAGGAAGGGTTATTAAGGGTTGGACTAGGATAATGATTGTAAAATTGTGATATAAGGATAGTTTATAATACAGCGAAAAATGACATGATTTTTCGTATGTGAGAAAATTGAACACCCGGTAGAATAACCGAATATTTCCTGTGGTATATTGACATTTACCGAACATTCTCATAATTTGTGTTAATTTTGCCAAATTTTTAAATTTAAATTTTGCCAAAATATTGATATATAACATAATTTATAAAAACCTCTTCGACTAGATTTGTCTTTTTCTAAAAATATGTTTTATTTTTGTTAATATTGATTCGTACATGTAGTTGAGTATTGATACCTTTGATATTTTTCATCGAACAAATATTTTTTGTAAATGTCGTCATTCTCACTTTAACACTTCCATCCTCAAACAGGGAACGAAAACAAGTTTTTAATTGTTGGACTTTGTCTTTTAATTATAGTACTATTATATTCATGTCGCGTTTATTGCGCGAAGCAAATGTTTTATAGGAAATTATCAAATAGAAGTTTAAAAATAAGAGTATGTGATCTAAAATAAAATGGAAATAACGAATTAGTCATATATTCAAAATGTTAGTAGGGAGACCTTTAAATGTGAAATTGAATATTACAGAGTTCAATATAAATGTCGTAGAACTTGCATGATCATCACATTAAGCCACATTGTGAAAGAAGATTTAGCAAACCAGTATTGGGAACTAAAAAATTCTTCTCCGCTCGCAGAAGCATTTACTGAGACCAATGGAGTTCAAAATTTGTTTAGTAGTAACAAATTACAGTACATTTACACCATACCTTTTAAATTAATTACTATTAAACTGGGAATAAGCCACAATTAAAGATAAAAATACGTTAATTGACGTTTCAATTTCCACTTCGGAAATCGTTCTCAAAATTTCCGAAGTGGAAATTGAAACGTCAATTAACGTATTTTTATCTTTAATTGTGGCTTATTCCCAGTTTAATAGTAATTAATTTACAATGCCACAAGAAAATAGCTTCAGAACAATATACCTTTTAAATATATAA